GTTCCAATGTATACTCATTATCCAGGTTAGTTCAAAATGTACTTTTTATTTTTAGCTTGACTATGGCAGAAGATATGTATGTTGTTAAGTGCTGTCCAGTCGATTCTGACCCATAGCGACCCTGTACAGAGTTTCCGAGGCTGTAAATCTTTACGGGAGCAGAAAGCCTCATCTTTCGCCCATGGAACAGCTGGTAGTTTCGAACTGCTGACCTTAAGGCTTGCAGTCCGATTCGTAACCACTACGCTACCAGAGCTCCTTTGTATAGCAGCAAAAAAAAAAAAATGTCCACTTTCACTGTTCCTGAGGGTACAAGTCACTGGGTTAGCCAAGTCCTGCAGCCCTCCGTACTCACTGTTGACTGTGAGGAGTCCCCACACGGAAATGATTGTCCTTTCTCACAGCCGTGGCATTTCCAGCACTTGTCTGGTCGACATCGCATAATAAATACTCATGCAACATTCGTCCTTTTTTGTCTGACTTCTTTCACTCAGCGGCATGTCTTCAAGGTTCGTTCATCCCTGTCCCAGCAGATCTCTGAACTTCATAAAGCTGCTCTTTACAGCTCAGTAATCGTGTTTTATATGCAAACCACCGGCTTTTTGTTGTTTTTTTCCCCCTGAGAAGCCAGTTTGTTCTTTTAGTTGGGTTTTGTGTGTGGCCCGGAGACAGTCCACCTGTGACGTGAGCTCATGTGCAGCTCAGCACAATGTTTTCTAAAGGGAAATAAATACGTCATACAGATGTCCTGTCCAGCCTTTCATTTCCAAAGCGTGCTCCTTCATGTTCTAGCGACTGAAGTATATGAGGCAGTGTCCTGTGACAGGCCAGGGCAACTCCATCATCCCAGGATTTCCAAAGAAGAGATGCTGGAAGTTACAGGGCCACGTGAGAATATGGTTTTCATCCCTGCCTCTCAGTCCCACTGTTTGGGTTGAGCTTCATTCCTTGGACATCTGCTTTCCTTCTCCCCTGCTTCCCCTCTTGTGAAGGGTGTCCTGTTACCCAGGTTATACCTCTCAGCTTCCCTCCACATCCCTCCTGCCCCCCTACCCCCCAATCATTGAGCTTGTGTGAAGGAGACGTCTGTCACCCAAGAATATGCTGACACTAGTGTCCCCACTGCAGTCCCCTCCGTGAGCCCATGGCCTCAGGCCTGGCCTGGGAGCTGTTTCTTGGTTACTTGGTCCTGGCATGGAGGCCATCATCTGTCTCAGAGTAGTACAGCAGGGTCCCCAGCCTCTGTGTCCCAGTGTGGTTTGAGGTGTGCATGTAGTCTGTTGGGAGACCATTGCGGTGGGGTAACTGGATTTCTCTTCATGCAGAATCAGGAGGGTAGGTCTGGATTTCAGATCTAGCCGGTAATGAGCACAGCCCAGATCATACCTGGTGTTCTGTAGCACTCAATTCTCCACACTGCATATACGGCATTTCTCCGCTCATGGTGGTACGACTGATCTCCTTTATGAGTCTATAAGCACTTGGACAGGTACCATTTTAGGGTAGATCCTCAATGGTGAGTCTTTGTCCTTCTATCCTTTGGTTGGTCACATGGACAATTTCCTGGCATGTCTTTGGCTTTATCTTTCCTTTTTCCTACAGCATGTAGCCCAGCCCTGCCACAGTAGGGAGATTCATCAATGTGAGATGTTCTCAGCGTGTCTCCTGGTGAGAGTGAGAGTGGCAGTGGCCACTTCCTTCTCAAGAAAGACTCTTGGGAGGCCCTCATTGTAGGGTTGCGTTATCCCCGCTCAGAGCACAGGCTTGCCAGGGAGGATGCTGGGAGATCTAGAGGAGCTCTTGACCCAAGCGAATGTGCTTGGGATGTACTGGGACCATGACAGCCATTGGGATTGTACCACTGGGGTTGACCCTGGAACAATGCAGGGGTTAGGGAACTGACCTCGTACACAGTTGAAGAGTCACGTATAACTTGAGATCCCCAGCTGGCCCCCAGACTTCACTAATAGCCTGATGTTGACCAGAAGTCTTACCGAGAGTCAGCATTTATTTTGTACATTCTATGTATAGGAATCCTGGTGTGGCGCTGTGAGTTAATAAGCCAGACTGCAAAGCCGTTTGAACTACAAGCTTGGTGGTTCAAGCTCACCAGTCACTCCTTGGAAACCCTATTCAGGGTCGCTATGGGTCGGAACCAACTCGATGGCACTTAACAACAACAACATGTATACATCTTGGAGTCCTGGTGTGGTGCTCTGGGTTAATGTGCTGGATTGCGGTTTGAACCGTAAGGTTGGCGGTTCAAGCTCACCATCTGCTCCTCGGAAACCCTATACTGGGTTGCTGTGAGTGGGAACTGATTCGACAGCATTTAACAACAACAGTGTCTATACATCCTGAGGAGCTCTGGTTGCATAGTGGTTACAAGTTGTACTGCTAATCTCACAGTCACCAGTTCAAAACTACCAGTGGTGCCGTGAGAGAAAGATGAGGCTGCTTTCTGCTTCCGTAAAGATTTACAGCCTCAGAAACCCTATATGGGTCTCTATGACTTGGAACTGACTCCATGGCACATAGCCACCACCACCATGTATACATCTTAGGGGCGCTGTATGATAAGCACTGATCTTGGGTTCAGACCCACCAGCCATGTCTTAGAAGAAAGATGAGGATGTCTGTGTCCATAAAGATTTATTATAGTCTCGTAAAACCTATTTAGGGTCGCCATGAGTCAGAATTGACTCATTGGGTTTCGTTTCAATGCACCATATATTATAATAAAGTATGTGAGAAAAAGATACTAAGAAAATCACAATGAAAAGGAAGAGGAAACACATTTATAGCGCTGCACGCTACACTTATACCCAGGATGCTGTTTTCACTGAAAAGTAGTCACTGGTTTCCAAACCCGTGTTGTCCAAGGGTCAACTTTCATGTGGTTGCTTTCTCTATGTATCCATCACCTGCATCCTAATCATTATGAACTCATGAGATTTCATAGACTTCCTGTGCTTTGTTTAGCTACAGTCATTTATTCTTTTTGACTTGCGGTGGTCCCATTTTTGACCAATGGGAGTCCTCCGTACACGTCTCCAAAGTCAGAATTGCATTGCACGGTGTATCTGGAGAAGTCTTACTCTTCCGTCGTCTCCTTCCTCTTCTGCAGTTAACTCATTTAAATTAAATTTTGGATCATTTTTCTCTGTGTTTGTTTTTCTGCATGTCACCTCTCTTGTCACATACAGGGTTGCTTACTCTTGTGCCTTGCTTCTACTTACCTGTCTTACCTGGGTCCATGCTATACGTTCATTCTTTTGTTAATGCTTGGCCAATATCTCATGGTGAGTAAGTGGTACTGTTGTTCAGCCAGCCAGTCCCTAAGAGATGGATAGACATCTGGGTAGTCTGCAACTTGCTTGTGAGTAACCTGGTGCATAAGGCATTTCCTATTAAGAAGACCTGTTGGTGTCATGTCATGAATGAAACACAGGGGGGGAAATAGGGCAGTGGGAGATGTGCTGTCATTTGCTGTACCACAACGAGGCAGGCTGTGTCTGGGGGTGTTGAGGGGGCCTAGATTTCTCTTACAGCTTCACTCCATAATACCTCCCCTGTATCAAAACAGCACAGTGAGCAGCATCCACAACCCACGACCTCACCCCCCCAACTGGCCCTAACAGCTGTCTTCATCAAAAAACGGGGGACACCAAAAATAACAGCACACTCCACATGCTTTGGAGGAGGCAGTGAGGTTCAAACAGGAACTAATTATGGGCTGCTTCTGTAGGGAGGGGACAGACAGTGAAGCCACACACACAGTGAGGGAGAACATTTCAATCCCTGGAAGCTGTGTGTACAAAGGGCAGGAAGTAGCTTCCAGCATCTGAGGAGGACACCGGTGGCAGAATGCAGTGTTTTTTAGGGTGAGGATTTGGGGGTTATTTTAAGTACATCAGGAAGTCAGGAAGGGCAATGAGGCAGGAGAATGGCATTTGATTGGGATCTATGCGGTACTTATTCTTCATAGAGAGTAGACGGCAGCTCACATAATGACGTTTTATCTTCCAGCATAGCGACAGTGTATCTGCTCATGTTCAGAGAGGACAAGGGCTTCCGGATGCTGCCTGACTGGTTTCTTCCCCACATGTAGCTCTGCTGTGGGACTCCTTTCTTTCTCCACCAGACTCCCCTTGACATTGCTCAGATCATTAAAACAAAGGCTTGTGATTGGATTATGTACTTGGGTTATTTACAGGAGCATGATATCTACAAATTCTCTTCTTCAGACCTGAAACTCCAAGTGACACATCTCTCTGGGAAATACTGGCACTTCCTCCTCAAGACCCACCCAGGTTCGTGCCACTGTTGTCCTTTTATACAAGGTGAACCCTGGCTCAATTGGCCATGTCAGAACACAAAGACGTTTCTAATGAATGAATTTATGTTTCTGTCATAGGGGACTGGCGTGGCCCCCACGGAGAGACTCTTCAAAGAGAAAGACTGTCGACGCACCAGGCACCCAAGCTCCTTGCTTTCTACGAAGGTCCCCTGTCTGATGAGTAGGGGGCAGAATATTGGACTGATTCTCCTGGGGGAGGCTGCAAGGGACCAAGGCCAGCCAGCAGCCTCTCACTCTCACTTGCAGGGGACCTTGTGTAACCCGTGCTCTAGGAGTGAGGCACACACCGTTGTTCTGCACAAGCAAGATTGCAGGGGCTCAAAGCTGCAAAGGTTTGCACCTTGGGAGCCCCTTGGCATGGTGATAGCTCAGAATCTAACAGGCGGTTCTGTGTCCATGAGTACCAGAGTCTGTGCACGAGTAGACGTCCCTTTATAATTAGTAATAATAAGACGACGTGAGGAACACTATGCAGAAAGAAGCCTTCCATAGAAAGACAGGCAGGGAGAAGCTCAGGCCGACCTTCAACTTACCTGACAGAGCAGGCCTGAGCCAAGCGGCCATGGTGGCCAAATGAGAGTCTGTCTGAGCCCAGTAGCCTGGAGCCCCGGGACTAGGGTAGTTGTCAGGACCGTTTCCCCTCACACTCACGATACCAAATAGGAAACATGATCTACAAGTGCCCCATGTGTAGGGAATTCTTCTCTGAGCGAGCTGATCTCTTTATGCATCAGAAAGTCCACAGTGCCGAGAAGCCCCACAAGTGTGACAAGTGTGACAAGGGTTTCTTCCATATATCAGAGCTGCACATTCACTGGCGAGACCACACTGGCGAGAAGGCCTATAAATGCGATGATTGTGGGAAAGATTTTAGCACGACTACCAAACTTAACAGACACAAGAAGATTCACACAGTGGAGAAGCCCTATAAATGTTACGAGTGTGGCAAAGCCTTCAATTGGAGCTCCCACCTCCAGATCCACATGAGAGTTCACACAGGGGAGAAGCCCTATGTCTGCAGTGAGTGTGGGCGGGGCTTCAGTAACAGCTCCAACCTCTGCATGCATCAGAGAGTGCACACGGGGGAGAAGCCTTTCAAATGTGAGGAGTGCGGCAAGGCCTTCAGGCACACATCCAGCCTCTGCATGCACCAGAGGGTGCACACCGGGGAGAAGCCCTATAAATGCTATGAATGTGGCAAGGCCTTCAGTCAGAGCTCTAGCCTCTGCATCCACCAGAGGGTGCACACCGGGGAGAAGCCCTACAGATGCTGTGGCTGCGGCAAGGCCTTCAGTCAGAGCTCCAGCCTTTGCATCCACCAGAGGGTGCACACCGGGGAGAAGCCCTTTAAATGTGATGAGTGCGGCAAGGCCTTCAGTCAAAGCACCAGCCTCTGCATCCACCAGAGGGTGCACACCAAGGAGAGGAACCATCTCAAGATATCAGTTCTATAACACATTTTGCTCAGAGCAAAAGATCTGAAAACCCGTAAGTGCCACTAGGAAGGAACCCCTGTAAATACCCACATGATCCCAAGAAATTTGTGCGGCAATCCCCTAGCAGCACATCCTTTGTGCAAAGGCTTATGTGAGGCTGATTTCTTGATTCAGGTCAAGTGTGTGCCACGGCTTGGCTTTGAACGTGAGATCCCTCTGGAAGTCAGCCAGGTTCGAGTTGTGGTCATGCGCTTCTGCGATTTCAGTGTTATGCTTCGGTGGATGAAATAGGATGTAAAAATCACTGTCACCGTCCAACCTCCCGAGTTACCTTCTGTCCCGGCTTTACTGAAAAGTTTTCCTGACACTGTCCCCTCTGGGGCCCCAGGCCCTCCCTTCCTCTTGATTAAGGCATACTGGTGAATCCAGTTGGAATGGACAGCTCCCACCAAGCTCATGTTCTGGTATTTTTGAGGTTACCATTCCCTTCAGCCTCTATACAGGTTATCACATGGTCATTCTTTCTGAACCTGCTTCCCTACACGTCGTTCTCAAAGCACCCGTCAATACCCACCCCTTCCTAGGTGGCATTCAATTTCACTTTAGGTTGTAGGTGACTCGTCCTATCCATCCCTTGGCCTTTTAGAGAAATTGTTGGCAGACACACATGCCCTTGAACATTGTTTGAACTGTTTTCATTTCATGGATTCTGCTAATCACTGTGTGTCTCTCTGTCTGTCAGTCAGACTTTCTCGTGTCCTCACATACTTTTAACTTGAACTGTTGAGGAGATAGCTGAGTGTAAATAGCTGGGAGGAAGACGCCAGCGAAGTTGATACTTGCCTCCATCCAGAATCGCCCTCAGAGGCCCTTCCTGTAATGCAGGCAACTGCTGGCGTAGCTCGGGGAGCCCTCATGAGAAGCGGGTGGTCAGAGGAGTCACCCATAAGTCAGTCTCGGCTTCTGTAATTATGGGCAATAATGTGTGGGCGTGCAGCATCCTTTCTACCCCTTCATTGAGGGGTACATGCCCATTCCCTTTTCGCCACGACTGTCCGTTGTTGATCATTCTTTGTTCTCCATTCATTTAACAAATAGTGACTGAGTGCCCCCTTTGGGGCCAGGCACTGTGCCGGGTGCTGGGAACAGTGAGACAGACAAGGTCCCTGCTTGTGGAGGAGACAGATGATAAATACTGTAGTTGAGGTAGTCAGTACTATGAAGAAAATAAAACTGGGTGATGATTTAGCTTGGTGGGGGGCGGGGGTGGGGCAGGCCTTTCCCAGGGTGGAGGGGCTCAGCTGTGGGGAGGGGGAGGTGCTGAGTTCCGCTCAGTATCCTGATGTTTGTAGGCCTGGGGGGTTTTTTTGTTGGTTGGTTTTGGTTGTTTGCTAGATATTAAAAACTCATGTGGAGGAACTCAAGGAATGTTTAGAAGACCAAAAGTCCCCAATGACAACAAAAAGCAGCCAGTTTTTCCCTCTGTTTCTCCTGTCGTTCCTCGTCACTGCTACCCCACACGTAGTCCTTTTGCTCAGGAAGTCTTTAGGGGAAAGTGAGGATCTTTGACGCTCTGAAGTGGGTGACCAGCTTAGTGCTACCTGTCAGCTGTGGGAGAGGCTGGAAAACGAAGTACTCACCGGATCATGGAAATACTGAAACCATGGGTGATTTTTTTTTTTTTTTTTTTCCTTTCCACATTTTGAATTTCTTCCGTTTGACTGGAAGGGGTTTTTGCATAACTAAAACCTCAGCGCATGGAGGGGCCCCCAAAAGGAGCTCCCAATGAGTGGGTGGATTTGGAACCCCCAGGTGGGACTTCAGGGTAAAGAGCTCCATGTCTGGAGGTTCAGGCACATCTACTCAAAAGTTTTGGATACGACACTTGACAGCCATCTCCTTGGTAGAGAGAGAGGGCGGGTTTAATTATTTAAGAAAGCCCCTTCCAGGCCTGAATTTGGAGACGCTGAATTACTGTAGTGTCTGTCATTCTTTCATGTCCCAATAGCGTGGAGCAGTAGAGAAAAACCTAGATTTTAGTTAATAGAGAGCCCGTTGAAATATCATTGATAGAATTTTAGTTTTAGGAAAACTCGGTTTGATTTCTAGCTTTATCACTATTAGGTATGTGAGCTTGGGCAAATTGCTGAACTTTTGAGTCTAGTTTTCTCATGTACAGAATGAGGATATTCGGCTGAATGATCTCCGAGTTCCCAACTAGTCCTAGAGTTCTATATTTCTACATAGTTGAATTATTTTATCATGCTGTTGCTGGGGAATATGACTAACACTTTTGAAGCTACTAATTTTATGTCAAGCTTTAAAGTCCATAATTGTTATCTTTGGGAAATATTATTTGACCTACAGTATGTCCAAATCAATTTAATAAAATCACTTTATAACAGGGTTCTGTGTTTGGCATGTAGTTGTGTGGCATGTAGTTGGTTGTGAGTGTATTTGTATGTAAGTGTAGGGGGATATTGGCTTGTGTAGTAACAAGACACTTGAGAGTAAAGGAGGTGATGTGAGTGTGTAAGTGTGGAAATTAGCGTGTACATTAACAAGATGCGTGAGCGTACAGAAAGTATGAGTGTATTTGTGTGAACGTGTGTTGGGAATTGGTGTGTGTGTTAACAAGATGCTTGAGAGTAAAGGGGGTGTTGTATTTGTGTGTAAGTGGAAATTAGCATGTGCGTTAACAAGATGCCTGAGCGTACAGCAAATATGAGTGTATTTATAAGTGTGGTGGGAATTGGTGTGTGCGTTGAGACACGAGAGTAAAGGAGGTGTTGTGAGTTTTGTAAGTGTGGGAATTGGCATGTAAAGACACATGAGAGTAAAGGAGGTGTTGTGAGTATTTGTAAGTGTGGTGGGAATTGGCGTGTGAGTTAAGACACAAGAGTAAAGGAGGCGTTGTGAGTGTGAGTATTTGTGTGTAAGTATGGGAATTGGCGTGTATGTTAACAAGACACCTTAGAGTAAAGGAGTTGTGGTCAGCACTCACTTGCAGACAACAGGACTAAGCTGGGACTGTCCCAGGCAAGCCAGGGTCTGAGAACACTCAGCCCAGGCAGGTAGCATGCGTACGTGATGAACAGAGAGGTCTGTGGCATGCTGTGGAAGGCCTGCCCTGCTGCAAGTCCCAGCATGGAACACAGCCTAAGGGTCCCACAGATTCTCTGATGGAAAAACCAACTACCTAGGTTTTTATATACCTTTTCATCGAGACATCTTAACAACTAACTCCTGGTCCTAGTCTGGCCCACTCTGGTCATGTGTGTTACCTGTCTGAGCAGTGGAGTCACCCCTTCTCTGGCCCCACTGACATTAGCCATGATGTGCTCCTTGCTGAGGTGGTGGTCTGTGCTCTTTACAGGTCTCAACGACAGTGGTTCATTTACTCATTATGAGGGGGGCAAGTCTGTATGCATCCCACCATGATGATGTGGGGCAACCCAAGCTGGCCCTTATGAGGTGTGTGTGTGTGGGGCGTGCACATGTGGCCCATTGTTGGGTTACTCCTGATGCCTGCTAGAATTTAGGGCTTTGAGAGAGGGGTCAAGGATGACATCACAGTTGACAACTTGGGAATTGGTGGGACATTTCATCTTCAAGACGGGAAGATCTTTGGATCCGAGTACCAAGCAGTCAGAAGGACAGCTGTAGGAGGCTTTGAGCACCCAGACCCAGGTAGAAGGATTCCTTTGTGTTGGGTGAGCTTGGACACGATGCCTTCCAGGGGACCTTCTAACTCTTGGTTCTGTTATTTTAAATTTTTGAATTATCTATCAAGTAACTTTCCAGTGCAATTAGCTGCGATTCTTAGGGATTTGAAATCATCACCAGCCAGGGCCCAGTATAAATAACACCAATAGCAATGCTGAGCTAAGGTATGGATCACATGAAGAGAGCTGGAAAGAATGAAGATTACATTTATTCGGATCTTTTGCAGCTTTTTCATTGGTCTAACAATCAGTTCTCACCTATAAAATGGTTTTGAAAGTGCCTAGCTCTTGAGATCGTTTGGGGAGCAAAATACCGTAAACCTGTGCAAAATGTCCAGCATTTAGTAATGTAACAGAAAAAGGCACCAGAACGTGAGTCCCAGTGGGCAATGCTGGAAGACATCTGGGTGGTACCCAGAGTTCTCGTTCAGCAGTGCTTTGGAGGGACAGACTTGGGAGGATGGTACTAAAGCATCCAGGGGTGGGGTTGGGGTCAGGATCGAGTGGGTAGTAAAGACCAGGACTCTCTTAGGACAGTCTGGACATGGACAGACAGGAAGGTGGGTATTAGGACACATTGTTACATACAGGCATGCCTTGTTCTGCACTTTTCAGATAGTATGTTTTATACGAATTAAAGATTTGTGGCAACCTCGTGGTGACCGCTTTGTCCACACTATCCACAAAATGTGACAGACTCAAAGTGGGCACTCTTGCCACATTTTCCGGCAGACAGCATGTGCTCACTTTCAGAGTGTCACATTTTGGTCTTTTTTACAACACAACGAGCTTCAAAAAGTTTGTGGGAAAATGGAATGAAAGATCACAGAATTTCTCCTTGAACTTTTAAAAGCCTGACATTTCCCAGTTTTCTATCATGCGACACTCCCAAGACTTCCGTGTAGAGTCGCTATAATGTCTCTGTGCGTATGACACCCTTGATTGTGATCATCGCTGTGTGGCTGTGCTCTGGGACTTGTCCCACATCATCTCTGAGGGCGACCTGAGAGTGGAAATCCACATGGGCACAATATCTTCCCTGAAGTAACAGGGTGTGGGGTAGTGAGTGGATTTCTTACAGAAACTGGTGTGAAGTCTGGGTTCTGTGTCCAAGCTGAAACGGTAAGTATCACACGCATGTAACATGGGAGGTCACCCACAAGAGCATAAACTCCTAGACATGCTTGAGTCTCCAGGAGATGGTCCAGCTTCCATGGATCATGAGGCTAATGGGGACCCCCAGGGCAGGAAGGGCTCTGGGCATCTTTATTACCCAGCATACAGAAGGTGGGATAACTTTATAAGCATATGGAAATGCAACCTTAAGAGTTCTTGTTTTTTATCACCC